TTTAGTCAGAACGTGCTAATCTTTAGAAGTACCCGTTGACTTGAAAATCCTTTTTCATTTAATACTTAGTCTAATAATTGTTGATTATGAGCTATCTAATATCACGCTACGCCTTTTAGGATCAAAACAATTAAACATGAATAGATTACACATGCGGAGCCGCGGGAAAAGCAAATATTAGTTAAGTTCGAAATTCTAAGTACTTTAAATGATTTATATTTTCAAACTAGCGACTTACCGTCGCTTCGCTTGGATGCATCCCAAAGTACGATTTTGTTTACCCTGATTCTTTTTCTAAAATAAATAAAATAAAATAAATAAATAAAAGTAGCCTCAGTTACTTCTTATAACATCAGCTATCACCAGTAAAAGTCCCGTCAAAATCGTTCCAGTCGTTTCGGAGATTAGCGGACAGATAAAAATTTTAAAATTTGTTTTTTCGTATTAGTATAGTATATAATATGTATACTTTCATATGCATTAAGTATAAAGCTGTTATTTTGACATTACAGACACTTTTATTTTATTTATATGCATAGATGGCAAACAAAGACGCGAGCTAGAGCTACTATGTAGCGGTCTTTTCTTTAATACACACATTCAGCCATCACTTATGTCGGTATCGGACGACCCTTGCCTTCTACGGTCGATTTTAATAGGCTGCCTTTAAGACCATGCAGTTTGACATCAAATTAAGCCCGATTAGTAAATTGTATTGAAGTAGAGACCCAATTGGATTGATTCCACGTAAACACTGTAGGCTGTTTAGATATGTGCTGGATTATAACTTTGTATACGAAATTACTCCTGCACAGGAAATTATTTTGACTTCTAGATTGAAGATGAAATGAGATTTTCTCAAAATTAATTAATCAGCGAGATTAAATCATTTAATTGATCATAGCAATTCGTACTGGTAAATGGAAAATTCATTAGTTAAAGGCGAAATATTAACTTGAAATTTAGCTGGTGGATTCCTCATAGGAAGCAGATAACCGCTAAAAAAAATTTTTTTTGGAAATCAATCCTTAAAAGGATAAAAAATGGATTGAAAATGTGTATAATTACGTTTTTTTTTTAGTTTTAGTTTAGTTACATTGGCTAAAATTGGTAATAGGTAATACTTCTAATTAAACATGACGACTATTCTAGTTCAAAGTTTTAGGCACTATATACACCGGGGAAGAATAGGTAAGAAACATGACGACACGTTTGGCTCAATTTTTATTGACCCTACTTGCTGCGCCAGCGGTCGCAGGTTCAAGTCCCGCTGGTGGCATTCATTTGTGTGATGAGCACGAATGTGTGCACTCCAGTCATGGGTGTTTATATTTATAATACGTATGTATATAAATTTATATGTGTGTAGTATATCAACTATCTGGTGTCCATAACACAAGCCTCGTAGCTTACCGTGAAACTAGATGGTGCTGGTAGTAATGTCCCAACATTTTTACATACGTTAATTGATACTAGGACACTTTATATGCACTAAGTTGTGAGAACCAGCTAAGAAAGAATTTTTAGAAATATGAATAACATAAATAAGGCACGCGAGCGAAGCCGCGAGCAATCTCTAGAACTTAAATATATTTACGATTTAAAAAAAAACACTAACATCGATAAAATTAATATAGTTTACAGTATTATAATATTTTGTTAACAATTAAATTCATTTCATCAAATCTAATTGCACCACATCAAAATTAATTGTACTGACCTTATATCATGAGTGATGGTAAAAATGTACTTGTATGTAATTTGTACATGCTAATTTTGTCATTTATGGGATTCATATATGTATAAGTAAATTGGACTGTATAAGTAATATAACTACATAACTTCCTTATTGTTACCTAAGCTTTGTTGAATTAAAGCCTTGTGGCACACCTTCTGTATAGAGCTTATATCATTCATATATTTTAATAGTTATTTATTAACGTTTATTGGTAATTGGTGTAAATTATACTTATTTATTAGTAACAAAATAAATGGATATATTTTTATGTTTTGTAAGTATTGTTATTACTAGCGACTCACCCTCGATTCGCTCGAATTCGTCCCTAGGTTGAGTCTCCATTCAAACTTGCATCCCCATTTTCACCCTCTTAAGGGATGATTTTCGGGATAAAAAGATCCTATGTCCTTCCCAGGGTCTCAAACTATCTTCTTACTAAATTTCATCTAAATCGGTTTAGTAGATCCAGAGATTACTCCCTACAACCACAAAGTCACAAAGTTTACCTCTTTATAATATTAGTATAGACTATTATCGAAGTTGTATTTTAAATATATGTATGAAAATCCATACCTCACTATATACCAATAAACATGTGATGTAGACATTGTACATTCTCTTGTGTGTACAGTTAAAATTGCCTAGTTGTCGATTTAAACATAACTCAAAAAAAAAATTTTATTGTATACGTGTAAAAATTAAAGCATACCTATTACATATATGTAAATACATAATATCTCAACACTATACCCCTTTCTCATGGAGCGTCAAGCGCTACGATCTCAATATAATATTATTTTTTTCGCATTTTACATTATTAACACATTAACAGACTTTCTTACGCCCTACTCGAGGAGTTTTCAGATTTTTGACCCAAACTTTTTCTAAATTTAATAAACACTTTGTCTTCAAAATTCAAAGATAGTAATTTTATTCCAAAAAAATTGGCTTTTACTGCAGTTTGAGAGATAAGCCTAATAACAATATATAGCCTGCCCGAGAATCGAACCTTTATCTGTGGCCATACTTTCTAACGCTGGTCTAGAAACTAAGGTAATAATTATTTTCATTTTCTTCTTCTTTTAATATAAATATTTGAAAATAATATACAGATTTACTAAATAGAAGTTTCATAGAATAATATTCTCTATTATACGCCATTAAATACCAAAATTGAAGCAACTTCGTCATTATGATGTAAATGCACCTTATATAGCTCCAAAATATAGCTCTTATTTACATACAAATAACGACTATTTTATACTAAAATATTCATATATCAATATATATGGAATCGTTGAACGTCATAACTATTATTATTAGGACGAAATTTGCATGAACCTTATAAAGACATCTCAAGCAAATGTTCATAGTTATTAAATTATTATGACAGGATTTTCGCCCGTATTAACAAAACAATAAGTAACGAAATGTTTTAACCGTACATCCAGTTTCCGACCATTTAGATATTTAGGACAGACGATTATGCATTGTTGTTAGGTAATACCTAATGGCTAGGTTTATTGTCACCTAAATTATGTAAAGGAAAATATTAAAATTTAGCACAGTAATGCCCGATTTCACTAACGTCACCTAAGTTGAAGAGATCCCCTAAGCATGGTTAGGGGGCTGTTAGGGGACAGTTTCTGTTTCACCGACAGTTAGGGGTCACCTAAATATTAAAAGGCCCCCTAAATTTAGGTGCTCTAAATATGGGCTTAAAGACGATCGTAAAACGAAATTTAATTTAGGGGCTAGTTTAGGGGACTTTTAAGCTAGGGATCCCATACGTAGGTGGTAGCTTATAGGTTGTTGGTGAAATCGGGCATAAGGATCGTGACCTAGATTGTAGGGTAATAGTCAAATGTAGCAATATCTACAAGTTATATTTAGTACTGGCGTTAAAAATTGGTGTAAAATAGTCTAAGTATGACATATCGTCATCTCAGTGCTTATTTATCCAAACGTTACACCGAAAGAGTTTTAATACAGAATTATTGAATTTTAAATGTTGAAGTAATTGTATATTGGCGAGGGTATCGCCTAATATACGCACAAAATGAAGCCAATAAGATTATCTTATTTTTTTGTAGTCGGGCAAAAAATCAACTATCACTTGCAATATGCCTATCTTAGGCAATCATCAAACATTAGGTACAATTTAAAATTCAATGAATATATAAATATAAATAAATAAATATGTTAGAACATCAGCACATATCACCATCTAGTTCCATGGTAAGCTACGAGGCTTGTGTTATGGATACCATATAGTTGATACACTGCACATATATGTATAACTTTAAGTAATTAATATAAATATCATCAAGAAGAATACATATAATAAATATAAACATCCATGACAGGAATACAAACATTCATGCTTATCACACAAATGAACGCCCCCAGCGGGACTCGAACCCGAGACTGTTGACCAGCAAGTCATTTATCACAATTAAACAAAAATTGCAAGAGGCCCTAATGATTGAAAAGAAAAGTTTGATGGAAACTTGAAATTTAACATTGGTGTTGAATTTCAGAAACATCGTTCATTGAAATTCATTATTCGAACAGAAAGTCGTTGGTAGGAAATAATTAAGAGCAATATAAAAAGATTGGATATGACAAATCATCGTCAACTGGCTTATTTAAATCCGTGCGCTTTCACTAACTTACGAGTACATATGCCTTTCTTATAGGTACTTAGGTGTACTCGTTACATATTATCTAATATTAAACATTTTAGCCAACATCGAAAGAAGGAGATACTCAACTCATCTTCATTTTGTGAATTTGATTTAACATAATGGGTATGAAATAGGTTAACTACTAATTATTTATTAGAGAATAGATGTTTATTTCGGTACTGTTCCATTATATATATTTTTAATTTGACGTTTTAAACTGAGCCACAAGTTTGGTCTGTTATTTTACTGGCAATGTAACTACGTCTACTATAGTCACAAAAGTATATATTTAGTTCGATACTGCGACGATGGTTTTGGTTCGATTTAAATTTATAAAAATATAAGACAGAATAAAATAATTTGTGAAATTTATTATTTCACAAATATCCTAACAAAACCAATCCTATATTAAAAAAAAAAGCTACGCTGAGCCAATATTTTAAAGGTACTTTTCCTATTTAAAATTCATCAATCTCAATATAATAAATATCTAATTTAACTATTATCTTTCTGACAACTTATTTTATATTATATTTTAGGAGTGAATTTTTCCATAAATCTAAATTATTACTCACCATCATAAGAATCCGGGATGTAAAGCGGTTTTCCAACCAATTTTCCTTTCTTCCCTGACAAGGGAACAGCTTCAACACGCCTATGCGCTTCCAGCACTCGATACAAAAGCACAGCCCTATCTTCTCCCTCAAACCTCACTACACGAGGCAAAGAAAACTTATCGACAAACTCTTTAAGCGTCATCACATCACTACTTTCTTCTTCCGGTTCGACGGAGCCATTTCTTCGTCCTAACAGAAAGTTGTCCGACCATTCATGTCTTCTTTCAGGGAAATCTGGCCTTTTTTCTGTACTTTTAGGTTTGTACCTTGGTCTTTCCCTTCTGACCAGAGCTTCATTGGCTTCAGCAAGCCATCTGGTCACTAGTCGTTCCCGTTCGACGTCGAGGTATCTGGGTTTAGAAGCATCACAGGCAAAGCGGGCAGCATCAAAACAATATTGGGGCGGTGGAGGCCTTATTCGGGGTGGGAAAAAACGGGGTGGTACGTAGGGAGGGTGCGATGCATACGCCGGCGGCGTCCGTGGCCCGGACTCGACTGACGCCGTTCGGAACATCCTTTCAGGCCATTGATGCTCGTGCCTAGAACAAATTGGATTAGGTTAGTTGATTTATAATTAAAAGGTCTAAAAACTAATAAAATCACCAATAAATGCTAAAAATACATAATTACAATACAAATTATTTTAAATTAACAACTCTACACATTTTGTAGGCCTTCATTGGGCCTTGTTTATGTCAATGGAGTACAAATACATTATTGTCATGTACACACAAAGTTTTTTTTCTTGTAGTACTTCTATATGCGAGTATGTTAAATAATTTAATGTAAATTCCTATATATTACCTAATTTTATATATTTGGTAATTTTTTTAACTGCCTCGATAGTCTAGTGGCTAGCATGTACAGCTGCAGATCCGTAAGTCCTAGGTTTGAGTCCCGGGTCGGGACAAGTTTAATTACTGAGTATGTTAAGATATGCTCAGTAGTAGCCTAGAGTTGAGAAGTTTCTGGTGTTTTATCCTCGTACCTCGGAGAGCACGTAAAACACTTGTGTCTACGCGTACACTTGAGCACTATAATATCTCCTGCGCATACCTGAATAGTTTCAATGAGATTGGCGGCTGGTGCCGAAATCGATCAGGTTTAGCTAATTTAGTACCTACAAAATTTCACTTCTAGATATCAATTCAAGCAAAATTAATAATATTGTAAAACTGAATAAAACACATACTATAAGTATTTTTTTTATATTTACATTATATTATATTAATTATACAGATGGGGAACAGCATCTTCGTCTTCATCAGCAATCTACTTGACTTGCCACAGTCATAATTATCTCGGTAAGAAGATTTCTATCTGATTCTCAGTAAACTTAAATGGGTAGTAGCAAAAACTGTATCGAGTTCTGTCGAGTCACTTCAGTGGTTATGAAATGGATTGATAGGTGCTATAGAAGTACCAATACTATAATTGCTTTATTTTAATTTTTAATTAAAAAATAATTACAATTTGATTTTAATTAATTTTATTATTACAATTGTGTAATGAATCGTAGCACAAAAGTAAAGCTGGGCTCTTTATATTAGTATAGTAAAATTCTATATCATCTTTAAGTGCGAAAGTTTATGTGACTCAATCGCGCCTACATTGCTGAAAAGATTTAGTGAAACTTGTATTTTTATGGATGAAACTCTAGTAGGTAATATTTTAGCATTTTTGATGATTACATGTATAATGAACCTACGACCTTCGTCCTTACAAGAGCATCTCGACGCTTACATAGTGTCGAGATGCTTTTGTATTAGGAGATAGAGAAGTTTTAAATACTTAGTTAGGTATGTAAATTTAATTAAAAATACATCGTCTCATGCTATTACATAAAGTCTTCGAGTGTGTAGATTAGAATTAAAAAATATTGCGTGTGATTACAAATTCTTGAATAGGGTTGGTAAATAAAAGTTTTTGTAAATGTTAAGAAAAAATAAAACAGAGAAAATTTAGTGACTTATTTGCTCAGTATTTTTTGTGTTGCCCATGCTAAATAGTAATTCTCATGAGACTATAATATAATTCTTACTAATACCATAAAATATGTTTTTTCTTATATTTACGCGAATATTTAACATTTTAAATAAAATTATATTTTCAGTTTTTTTTCGCGGATTTATCTTGATTTTTGGTTCCCGACGTCGACCTCAAATGCTTCCATTTTCCATATAGTTTATGAACGTTGGTGTATTAGTTTAATAAAAGCATTAGGAGTCGAGTACAAATGCTTATAAAAAGCATTCTCTTAAACAAAAAATGTATGCAACATTACACAACAAGAAATTATTCAGTTTTCATAACACCTATGACAAAATATATTTTTTCTAGTATTTTTTATAGTTTAGCAGCCCTAACCGTATATACAGAAGGCATACTACGATTTTCTCACAGAGATAAATAGCTTATTATATAGAGGAACCCGTAATAAGCTAAGTTAATAAATGACGTTCATTGAAATGTTTTTAAGTTAAAATTATCATAAAATATGACTAGAAAGGACCCTATAAATATTGTACATAACTAGCGACTAACCCTCTCTTGGTTCGAGTTCGTCCTAGGTTGATTCCTCATACAAAATTTCATCCTCATTTTCACCCCCTTAAGAGATGATTTAAGAAATAAAAAATATTCTATGTCTTTCCCAGGGTCTCAAACTATCTTCTTACCAAATTTCATTTAAATCAGTTCAGTAGATTTTGAGTTTATTCGTTACGAACATACAAAAATACAAACAAACAAACAAATACACCATTCTTTCACACAGTTCATATTTATAATATTTGGCCCTTTGGCAAAATTTAGTACTTTAATTAGAAGCCTATACGTTACTCAAAATTATATCTTATATGATACCTACTAAACATCCAAATCTAGCCAGCGTTTTCAGCGTGACACGCACGCAGCCAAGCACGCACGCACACACATTCATACAAACTTAAACATAGAAGTGTGATGTAGATAAATCTAATACAGCCTTAGATAACAAATAAGACAGATAATAAATAACTAAATTATAAAACTGCAATAGTATTGAGTTCCACGCCGAGTCCCTGCAATTATGCTAATAAGTCGTATCCACTTTAATTTGTTGCCATTAATACATATTTGTTTACGAACCCAGCATTCATGTAAGTAAAACCTTCGCGAAACCAGTTTGATAGTTAAATTATTTATCAAATATGTAAAAAGGTTTAATCGTCTTACGCATTTTTTTGCATTACACCGTCTATGAATAGATAGTGTTTACTTTTTTTTTAACTTACTTCAATGAAGTAGAAAATTTTATGTATTTGAATACAGAGTCTGTAGACTTAATATGCCTCATTTTTTCAACACGATCCCAGAAAAAAAATTGCAGTAGACGGTTCTATTAAAAGAGAAACTACGCACATCTATTTCTCTAATATTATAGATACGAGTGAGACGTGTTTGTGAGTAAAGGCGAGATTCATAAATTGCACGTAAACTTTATGTGAAAGTCCTACTTTTAGCAAAATAAATGTTTTATAGTCTTGTCAAACGTTTACTTTACTTTAGAAAACCGTATTTTGCATAGTAAAGTAGCAAAATCATTATAACTTTAATTTTATTGAATTGAATCGATTATCCGAATAAATTGCGTAATAACATACATCAATATCCAATTATGACGAAGATCGTTATTTTTTATTCCGTTACTAGCGATTTACCCTCGCTCCGCTCGATTTCGTCCCTTCTTATGTTTTAACGTTCAGTAGAGATTTCTCAAAGATGAGATATTTTAGCTATATATAACTACTAGAGGGATTTTGATGAAATTTGGTATAATATAACCAGCTATCATTGTACCAAATTTCATCAAAATCACTTTAGTAGTTTTTTCGTGATTCGGTCACAGACAGATAGACGACAAAGAGACAAACAGACAAAACTAAATACAATTCGGCCTCTGTATCAATAATATTGACTATTTCAATAAGATTTTCCAAAAAATATTTAATATACAGCTTCGGCCTAGTTACAATTTTATTATATGTATAGATTTCCACCATATTAATGATATAACCTTTAGAATTAACACCTCATTTACTGTAAACCCGATAAATAGTTTCCACGCAACAGTCAATCCGTAATCGGTCCATTACATGCTTCGGGTATGCACGCAACGGATGAGCTCTAGCACTTAAGTGCACTTCAAATAAAGGCAGAAATAATAGTAGGATGTTATTTGAAACGGTTACTCTGGCGGAAATGGTGGAAAATTTAATAACACAAAATATTAAAATTTATATTATTTAGGTGTTTATATTATTTAGTTGGTAATTCTGTGTAATTGTAAACAAAAGTTTTAATGCAATAGGGAATAAGCGTGTTTTTCTTTGTTTTTTATATACAATAGCCTACATCGTTATATAATTGGAAAAAAATATGTAACAAAAAAACTAAAATTTAGTATAAAAAAAATATAAAAAAGTCATACCGATACGGATTCTTTAAACGCCCACCATTTTGGCGTGACGTCATAATCTATGACAACATTGCAATCAACGAGTGAACAGGTTTAGATTGTTAGTACCAGTCGCAAACACCAAACAACAGCACTCTATTATAATAGACTTTGACGTCACATACGGTCTGACCAATGGCGTTTCGTTTCAACTACTTTGAATTTCCCACCTAGTTTTGCACTTTTCAATAATTATTTTCTAAATAAAACTGTATTTATATAAAAAAAACTATTGATATTGGCTTAATTCAGAAGCAATAAAGATTAAAAAAAAATATTTCACCATTATTTAAATTACACGCATATTTCGTTATTATGGAAAATTCAGCCCTTTTAGCATCCATTTCTAGGCACAGGCCTTCCCTCAATGCGAAGGGGATCAGGCCATATGACCCTGGCCAAAATATGTGAGTTGGTGGACTTCACATGACTTCCGAAAACTAGTTAAGTTCGCTATGCAGGGTTCTCAGGATTTTTCCTTCTCCGTATTAATTAGATAAATCTGAAAATATGTGAAGTACAATAGTTCGATAGCATCGAGCTAATCTGATGTTAACGTCTCATCCATAATAATTGGTCAAAAACTTGCATCTTTCGGTTTTTTTATAATATAGCCTAAGAATAGCACAATCTATGTTAAATACATATTGATATAACAAACGCATCCCTATATAATAACGAAAACACAAAAAAAACATTGAAAGCCAACTTAGACGAACTACATATATACAAACTAAAAATATTCTAATTAATTTTGTTATATAAAACAAATACATATATATATGTACTTACAGATTCAACTAAGAGTACTAGAACACTCAATGATCAATCATCAATCGTGTTATGAACCAGGTAACTGCAAGTAATGCAAGTAACGGATGAGCTTAAATAGTTAAGATAGCAATTATTTTAGTCATTTACTACAGGATGGAGTTTTAAAACGGTAAAGTCACATGTTTTAATTAATGTTAAAATTGATAGAAACTTTATAACTTACATATTTTATAGTATGCTTATATTAGTATTTAAATTATATATGCG